TGCACAACATTTTCAGTGGTTTCTGTTTTAAATTATTTAGGTCTTTGGAGTATCACACTTTGTCAGTGGTTTAAATAAAAATAGTCACGTCAGCGCACTATTTATAAAAAAATTCTCAATGATAGGGTACCTATAATAGGAGATGTGGTGAAAAGTAAAGAAAACAGAATTTGAGACAGTTTTAGTGGAAATTATCAAGTTTAGTTCCGGAAGCCTCGACTAGTCTGATTTTCTATTGGCTAAACTTATTATCAATCATACTTGTAACTTACGGAAGCATGTTGTCAAGGGGTGGGATCTTCCTGTCGCCATTGCTAGGGCGCGGTGAGAACCCGTTTTCTAATTGGCTAAAAACGGCTTCTCCCGCCTTCCTTTATCAGTTGCTAAGGGGTGGGACTTATATGGAAGAACGAACTACCTGCCGAACAGTTGGCCGGTAGGGACGAATCTTGTAGCAGATTGGCTATTGGCGCTGCCTGTCTGATGTTAGTTGCCGGGGAGAGGCGCGTGAGGAGGAGGCGGTGTAAGGCAACCATGGCGGGAGGAATCAAAGTGGCAGTGTCGGCGGCAGTTGGTTCTGGGCTCTGGGGCCAGGGAGGCGGTGGCAATGGGATAATGCGGCTGTTCTTGGTCCTTTCCGGCTGCTTGTTCTGCGCCTCAGGTACCACCCGGGCACTATGTGCCGAGGGGGCGGGTGCCGAGGAGGAATTTTTTGAAAAGTGGGGCTTTTCCCGGGGCGCGGTCTGGTCCCCTGCGAAGGGCCGCGGATGCGAAGGAGCTACATCCGCGAGTGGATGTCGGCGCTGAGGGAGGGAGGGGTCGACGTCCTGGGTAGCTCAAGGAGCGCCCAGAGCGGGGAGGAGCTTTGCGCCTTTTGGTGGACTCTGGAGGGAGTCGGGGGCTGGGTGAGAAGCCGTCCTGGGGGCTGCGTCGCGCTGCCAAGGTCTCCTGGAGTTCTAGGTTAAAGGAAAGGAGATTCGGATCATTCCCGGCTGTCAGGACGCCGGGGCACGGGTGGCTTATTAGATCCATAGAGCTCAGAAATACAGTGATCTTAACTTGAGCTATTTTTACCTGCTGTGTAGAACTGACCTGGAGTCATGGTAGTTCACATCCTCAAAAAAAGATACAAATACCATTTAGCAGCAAGTAGGCTTCCTTGGAAATGCCTTTATTCTTTTAAGTATACTTACTTGATATCTGCAAGCCTGGGGAGCAAATTTCTCCCAGTGTGTTTGTAAGAAAACTTAAATTCTTAGCAGAAAGATGGGTAGAGGTTTCCAAGCTTCCACTGGAGGGGTTGAAACTCCGGGATGAAAAGATAGGCCTATCTTGAAAATGAGTTGTGCACTCTCACCTCTCCCTTTGGCTCCTGCCTATGATGCCGAAGGATCGTCCTTATCCTCACCTACAGCATTAAGATGGTCTCAGCATCCATAGATATAGTTCCTAAGCACAAAGACCTTCTGAAAAGTTTTTGGGGGTGTGTAGGTAGCAAGGAAGGAAGTCCTTAACAATGCACAACATTTTCAGTGGTTTCTGTTTTAAATTATTTAGGTCTTTGGAGTATCACACTTTGTCAGTGGTTTAAATAAAAATAGTCACGTCAGCGTACTATTTATAAAAAAATTCTCAATGATAGGGTATCATATTAATTACCTAAATTAATTTCTAAAATAGTATTGTTCCATCTGGTGTAGTGGCACACACATGCAATACCTCACTCAGGAGGCTAAGGAAGGAGGATCACTGGGTTCGAGGTCAACCTGGGTTACATACCTTGTTGTAAGCAAACAAACAGGGTTGTTGTGGAGATGAAATGAGACAATATTAAGCACTCAATCGAGCCCCTGTTTCTTTGAAGTTTTTTGTGTGTTTTGGGGTATGCTGGAAATTGAAGCCTAAAGCTTTATTATTTGTTTGTTTTGGTACCTGGAGTTGAATTCAGGACTTAGTGTTTGCCAGACAGGAACTTGTGCCACCGAGCTGAATCCCCAGCCTTAAAGGTTGACAAGAGAGGAACTTGTTATGAAGAAGAGTATACTTGAAGTAGTATATTGCTTGGTTTGGCCTGATACATTTTGTGAGTGTAGCTACACAGAGCAATAAAGGAACATGACATTTCTGAAAGTCAAGTACCCCAAGATTTAAATTACATTAAGGGTGAGGGTGAAAAAAAATTACATTAAAAGGTAGCGAGTGCCTTTTCACTCAACATTTCTTGAGGTCTTTGATTATAAAAATGATGTATGTTTGCTTTAGACTACTTGGCAGAGACAATTAAGGAAAAAAAGTAGGCAAAACTATACTGTTATATGCCAATCAGTGGTGGTCCATTAAAATGGACAGTTTCTTTTGGTCTTTACCACATATTTTTATTTATGTATTTATTTATTTGCAGAACCGGGGATTGAACTCAGGCCCTTGTGCTTGCCAGGGAAGTGCTTATTCCACTGAGCCATGTCCCCAGCCCCTGTTTTATCTTTTTGATGGTAGAGATTGAACCTGAGGCTTGAACATACAAACATGTGCTCTACCACTGAGCTATACCTTCAATCATTCCAGATGTTTTTAATTCAAAAATTAAAAAAATTGGGGCCAGGGAGATGGCTCAGTAGAATAAGCTCTTCCCTGGCAAGCGCAAAGGCCTGAGTTCAATCCCCAGTTCCACCCCCCCCCCAAAAAAAATCATATTTTGCTGTCAGTGATCTAGTTCTCCACCCTGGACACCACCAGACTACTAGAGATGGTTTTCTCCATTTTGTAGCATACAAGTTTCTAAGTCACTTGAAGTTCTTCATAAATGTTATTGATATTATATTCCTTTGTATGGATGGATGTTATTTAATGTTTCTGGATGAAACATTTGGTTGGACACTTGTGGGTTTGGTTTTTCATTATTGTAAGATGACACTTTGTGAGTATCTTTGTATATAGAATTTTTATTGCATTTGGATTTGTGTGTGTGTGTGTGTGTGTGTGGCCAGCTCAGCCCACCAGGGGGCGGGGCGGGCTGTCATGTGGTGCTGGGGGATTGAGCTGCGGTCACTGTGCTTTACTAAGCTTGTTCTAAGTAGGTGCTTTAGACCACTGAGCCATCTCACCAGCCCATGGATTTTTAAATAGACTCTCAGAAATGGATTTATTAGATTAAATCTATTAAAAAGTCTTTTTTTTTTTTTTTGTATTTTAGGCAAGGGTCTATGGGGTGTTTAGGGTCTTACTACTAGATCAGACTCATAGTGATCCGCCTTTTTACAGCCTCCCAAGAGTTGGGAATACAGGTGCGCGCCACCACGCCCAGTCTCAATTGCTGTCTCAGCTTGCTCCAGGGCCAGGGCCTGCACTACAAAGTCTTAAGACCCTTAAAAAGTCTTAATAAAATGTTTCTTAAGCTACTCATGGTGGCACACTCGTTGAAGCTGAGATAGGAAGATCATAAGTTTGAGCCCAGCCTGGGGAACTTAGTGACACACAGAGACTCTGTCTCAAAAATAAAAGGGCTGGAAATGTAGTTTAGTGTGAACAGCCTGAGTTTAACCCCCAGTTCAGAAGTTTGCGAGGAACCAAACTTCCTTGCAAAGGTGTGCCAGTTTTCATCGCGATCAGCAGTCGGCCTGAGTGCTGGACACTTTTTTTTTCCTTTCTGTCTACCAGGGATCAAATTTAGGACCTTGTGCTTGCCAGGCAGGGGCTTATGCCACTGAGCTGTATCCCCAGCTCCCTGGACACAGTGCATGGGCTGCAAGTTAATTTGATAGACCAAACATGGTATCTAACTTACTTTATATGTTATCTAATATTTTACATTATTGGTGAGAATGAACATTTTGAATTATTAAGCTATTTAAATTTTCTGGGGGCCAAGAAGATAGCTCAGTAGAATAAGCACTTTCCTGGTAAGAGCAAGGGCTTGAGTTCAATACCCGGTACTGCAAAAAAAAAAAAAAAAAAATCTGTAAGACTATACAATTTTGAGGTTGTGTATATCCTTTGTTTTCAGACTATTTTTGTATGCTTTGAAAATAAAATTTGAGCTTCTTGTATGTATTAAGAATACAGATTTGTATAATCTATTGCAAAACTTAGTTTGCCCCCTTTTAGCTTTTTCTTTCTTTCTTTCTTTTTTTTTTTTTTTGGTGGAACAGGGGATTGAACTCAGGCCGCCATTTAGCATTTAAAGTAGAAGAGGGCTGGAGAGATGGCTCAGTGGTCTAAAGCACCTACTTAGAACAAGCTTAGCAAAGCATCAGGGACCGCGGTTCAATCCCCCAGCACCACATGCCGGCCAGCCGCGCCCCCTGGTGGGCTGAGCTGGCCACACACACACACAAATAAACAAATAAATAAATAATAATCAAAAAAGTTTAAAAAAAAATAAATAAAGTAGAAGATATATATCTTTTTGTGAGTGCATGGAACTGGGGAATGAATCCAGGGAGTGCTAAGTTCCATTCTCAGCCCCCTTTAATTATTATTATTTTTGGTGGTACCAGGGATCAAACTCAAGACCTTGCACATGCCAGGCAAGCGCTTATTCCACTGAGCTATCTTCCTGGCCCTCAGCCTTTCTTAATTTTTATTTTGAGATTCAGTCCCATTAAATTGAAAATGAAGCTTTATTTTTTATTTATTTTTTATTTTTGGCAGTACTGGGGATTGAATTTAGGACCCTGCCCATGTCAGGCAAGCGCTTATTCTACTGAGCTATCTCCCCAGGGCCCCAAGCTGGTTTTGAACTTGTGATTCTCTTGCCTCAATCTTTTGAGTAGCCTCCCAAGTAGCTAAAGATTTACGTTTCTTATGTGATCACTTGATTTTATTCTTTATTTTTAATTAATTAATTAATTTTTTTGCAGAACTGGGGATTGAACTCAGGCCCTTGCACTTGCCAAGGAAGCGCTTATTCCACTGAGCCATCTCCCCGGCCCCTATTTTTGATTTTATTCTTTAGATTTGTTTCCATTGTTTTTACATTTGAGAACTCCTCAAAATTGACGTCTTATTTTTTCTAGTAGTGATTTTTCTAATATTGTGGCTTGAACCCAGGGCCTTTCAGGTTTAGACAAGGACTATACCATTGAGCTACATCACATCCCTTATCCCCATCTTTAAATTTAGAATTCATATTGGCATTGGTATAAAGTAAGGATCTAGGCTTTTTTTATTTTAAATGTATTTGGTACAGGGTTTCACTACACAGCTTGAACTCTGAATGATTCTCCTGTTTTCAGTCTTCCTAGTGCTGGGATTGCAGGCGTGTGTCACCACACCTGGTCTCTGTGGTCTCTGCTCAGCATGTGGTGCCAGGATCTATCCCTGGTCCCTGTGCTTGCCTAAACGGCACTTAGTCCACTGAGCTATGTTGCCAGCCCAGATCTAGGCTCTGTGTTTGTGTGTGCGTGTACACACACACACACACACACACACACACAACTGGAGATTGAACCCAGGACCTTTGCACTGATCTACTGCTCTTTTAAATTTTTCTTTATTCTTTATTTTTTACAGTCCTTTTTTCTTTTTCTTTTTCTTTCTTTCTTTCTTTTTTTTTTTTTTGGTGGAACTGGGGATTGAACTCAGACCCTTGTACTTGCCAGGCAAGCACTTATCCTACTGAGCCATCTCCCTGGCCCCCCTACAGTCCTTTTTTATTTTTGAGACTGGGTCTTATTAAATTGGGCTGGGCTTGGGGCCAATGAGATAGCTCAGCAATGTAAATCGCCTGCTTAGGCAAAGTACAGGGACAGTGGTTTGGTCCCTGTGCACCAGCCCTGTCCTGGAGGTGTGCTGAGCTGGCCACACACACACACACACACACACACACAAAAAAAAAGTAGGCTCTTAACCTTATCTGAATCCATGGCGAGCTCAAAACCCTGAAGTTGGGCTGGGCTTGAATTTACAATTCCCTGACTTTAGCCTTCCAGTGTTGAGATTATAGCTGTGTGTCACCACAGCCAGCCAGTGTAAATAAAGAGCAAAATAAATAAAATAAGCTAAATGATAGGAAACAGTGAGGTAGACATGTAGAGATGGGAGGGGAACCTGGGGATGGTGGAAGTGAGAGGCGTGGGGGAGGGAGAGGAAAAAAGATCAATATGTGATGTGTATAGATACTCATTCCTTACTGTGAGTATGTGTAATCTCTCACTGCAGAGGTTACGTCTGGACACCCCTGCGATAAGTGAAAGTGAGTGAAGTAGCAATGTTATATTTATTTTAGTATTTATATGTATTTTAAGACTTTATAAACCTTTCCCACACTTTTAAAAGCGCTTCTAATTTTCTTAACCATTTTCTAAACTTGTAGACCTACATTTATATGCATGTGTGTGTATATGTGTGTGTGTATATATATTTTATTATTATTATTATTATTTTTTGTGGTACTAGGAATTGAACTCCGGACCCTGCACTTGCCAGTAAACCTACATAATTTTATTTATTTATTTAGCGGAACCGGGGATTGAGCTCAGGCCCTTGCACTTGCCAGGGAAGCGCTTATTCCACTGAGCCATCTCCCTGGCCCCTGTGATAAAAAATTTATTTTATTTATTTATTTATTTATTTAATTTATTTGTGTGTGTGTGGCCAGCTCAGCCCACCAGAGGGCGGGCTGGCTGGCATGTGGTGCTGGGGGATTGAACCGCGGTCCCTGTGCTTTAGCTAAGCTTGTTCTAAGTAGATGCTTTAGACCACTGAGCCATCTCACCAGCCCCTGTGATAAAAAAATTAGATTAATATTTTTTGAAAACTCATGTAGCAGTGAGTCCGTGGCAGTTGAACCACAAAATAGTGAGAGAGTACTGTATTTATTATGTATTGCAAATATACAATAACAAATAGGCAGATAAGATGGTAGGTTTTTGTTTGTTTGAGACAGGATCTCACTCTATAGCCCAGGCTGGCCTCAAACTTGTGGCAGTCCTTTTGCTTGAGCCTCCTTTTGTTGAGATGCTAGTATTGAAAGAGGTATTTAAGTATGAGTTGGATTATGTCTTGATAGAAATGAGTAGAGGGCTGGTCAGATAGCTCAGCAGGCTAAAGCACCTGCTTAGGCAGGTGCAGAGAGCAGGGTTTGATCCCCAGCATGTTGTGCTGGTCCTGTCACATGCCTAGTTTTTGAGGGCCAGCAAGTTGTGCCCAGGGTTCTGGGGCTGGCACAGTATGCAGCACCTGGGATTGAACTCAGGTCCTTGTGCGTGCCAGGCAGGCGCTTAGACCGCTGAGCTATCTCCCCAGCCTTAGTTACTTATTTTAAAGAACTCAAACATTGTATATTAGAGTGGAATGTCAGCAGATATATTCTTCAGTCTTTATTCTGTATTTTAGACCTTCTTCAAAATATTTGAGGATTCTTATTACTAAATACTAAGAACAAACCTGATTTTGACCAAAAAGTAATGAAACAGTGGCTGGAAATCTATCAGATGCACATTATTTTTGAGACTAACAAATGGGTATATAGGTAACTGTGTAAATTTTGTTTTTAAGGTGTAAAGGTAGCAAACTATTCCATTTAATATTTGACTATTACATTTTAAAAATGTGACATGTGGACTGGGGAGATAGCTCAGCCGTCTAAGCGCCTGCCTAGCAAGTGCAAGGATTGGGTTCAATCTCCAGCACTGCATGCCCTGACTTTGTGGTCAGTTCAGCTGCCCTGGGGGCAGGGCTGGCATGGCATGTAGTGCTGGGGATCAAACTGTGGTCCCTGAGCTTGCTTAAGTAGGTGCTTTAGTCCACTGCGCTATCTCACCGGCCCTGTGATTATATTTAAATAAACTTGGGGTTAGGGGTGTTACTCTCTGGTTGAGTGTGTGCTTAGTGTGTTCATGGTCTGGGCTCAATCCAAAGCACACGTACATATCCATTAACTAGTTGGAAATAGACTCTGCCTTATTTCTTGTTTTTGTTTTTTTTTCCTTTTTCAGTCTAGCCAGTGTTTTAGCCCCAAGTGTAAGAAGGTGTTCAGCTTAATTTTTATAAAATGAGTTACAGTTATTAGTTTGCTCTCATGTTTAATTCTTGTGCTTTTTACTTTGTATAAAGCTGGAACTGATGTAAATGTGGTCATGCTTCACGATTCCCAAGTTCATGATACGCAGATCAGCAAACAATTCTGTTATAGAAACGTGCTTATCCCGAAGTGGCATGATATATGGACACGGATACAGGTAATCATTTGGAAGCCCCTTACAGGTGTCTCAGCTCCTTCATGTAGCTTGGGAGTACTGTGCTCATGAGGTAATATTCCTTCTTTTCCCAAAGAAAGTGCTTGCTTTTCTTTCCAGTCTTTTTGCAGCTTGGACATACTCAAATATACACATATGCATGCGTGCTCAGAATTCTCTTTTTAAGGGCCTTATGCCTTCTTTGGACTGGGAGTTATGGTGTACCTATCAGGGTGTAAACTCTTGCTTTGCTGCTGCTGTTGCTGCTGCTCCTTTTTTGATGGCAATTAGGACTGAACCCAGGGCCTTCAGAATAAGCTACCTATACAGTCCTTTTAATATTTGGTATGTTGGGGCTGGTGAGATAGCTCAGCGATCTAAAGTGCCTGCTTAGGCAAGCTTATAGGGACCGCAGTTTGATCCCTGGCACCACATGCCGTGCCAGCCTTGCCACCACAGTGGGCTGAGCTGGCCACACACATACACACACACACAAATTTGCTAAGTTGCTAAATTGCTCAGGTGCTGTGCTTGAACTTGTGATCCTCTTTCTCAGCCTCCAGAGTAGTAGGATTACAGTTGCATGTCACCATGCATGGTACTTTGCTGCTTCTGTTCTGTCTTGATTTTATGTGAGATAGTTCATAAACCCCCTGAGCTGAAATTTCCCCTTGGTAGAATGATATCTGTCTCATTTATTTAATAACATTATTAAGTCACCTGGTAAGCAAGAGCGGCTGTAATTGTGATTGAACAAAATGAGCCCTTTTGGAAATGTCACTGCTTCTACAAGTGTGGTTACAGATAAGGGTATTTGTTGTTCACATCAGAAACTTAAGAATGGGCTTATGGTTTTAAGAAATTCTTATCTTTTATTATCTGATATAAAAATCATTCCATCTGGGGTACATTATGACAACATTTACACATAATCAGTGATTTGTAACAATGGGTTGAACTTCTCAGCCTGTCATTATGAGAAACATTTTCAGTTTTTTGGGGCTATTTATGACTGGCAATTTTCTTAATAGTTTAGGCCTTTGCATTGTGTGATTTCTTATAAAAAGCTGTACTGATAACTCTTTCAGCTTGGAAGTCTTCTCCACCTGTGTTCTGGCCTAATCATAGATTCAGATCGTATTAATAAGACCACACTCTTAACAGCTGCCTCTGGAACATGTGCTGTATTATTTGTCTAATTATGTTTTAGCTACTACATATGTGTATTTCTGAGATGCCTTGTGAAATACTGGCGGCCTTACTGATACAGCTATTTAGTTTAAGGTTTATTATTATTATTATTATTTATTATTTATTTATTTACATTTATTTATTGTGTGTGTGTGTGTGTGTGGCCAGCTCAGCCCACCAGGGGGCGGGCTGGCTGGCATGTGGTGCTGGGGGATTGAACCGTGGGCCATGTGCTTTGCCAAGCTTGTTCTAAGTAGGTGCTTTAGACCACTGAGCCGTCTCTCCAGCCCCAGTTTAAGGTTTTTTTAAAAAAAAGTATATTTGTGAAAAATTTAAATTTCTACTTCCTTTCTTTCTTATTCTAATTTTGCTCTTGTTACAGATCCGGGTAAATAGTTCCAAGTTGGTTCGAGTTACCCAGGTGGACAATGAGGAGAAACTGAAGGAGCTAGAGCAGTTTAGTATCTGGAACTTTTTTTCCTCCTTTCTAAAAGAGAAATTGAATGACACCTATGTTAACGTGGGTCTATACAGCACAAAAACCTGCCTCAAAGTTGAGACTATAGAGAAGTTCACCACATACAGTGTCACTGTGACCCGGCGTAAGTCTCATCTCTGTGTTTCTGGTGGATGTTACAGTGAGTAGGGACTGAGCTCTGGAGGGTGTAATTAGTAGATGCAGAAGTCAGCCCAGGACCGCTCCATTTTGGTTCTGATTATAACCCAGAGTTCACTGTGGCTCCAGTTTGTAGTGAGTCCATCCTACATCAGACTCTTTAAGGCCTAGAAATCATGACTTCACCTCTGCCATTCCAGGAACTACTTGCCTAGAGTTATGAAGGCTCCCTTGCTCCTAACAGTGTCTGTGGCCTGAAGCTGATAATGCCCAGTATTCTTAGAGTAACAAGATTGCTGTGTTCATGCCATCTGAACACTTGTAAACAAAGGCAGCTGTCCTGCTGTGTACATACCTGCATTTGAGGACATGAATGGTTAAACAATAAAAACTGAGGAAAGAAACTTGAGTATTAGTAATTCACAAGTAGAAAGTACTTGTGGAACCCTAAAGCTGAGGATTACTACATTTTAAGTTTGGATTGAGTAGAACTAGGGGTTTTTCCTTCTCTGAAGATATCAGAGGAGGTAATTTCTGTTACATTGTCTCTGACTTGTTTTCTTGTGGTTACTAGCCAGGTCCTAAGAGTTGTAGATACATAAGTAGTAGACTTGTGATTATACCCTTCCATTTGTCCTACAGTTCCACAGTTGTATAGGGTTGGCCTGGTTTTTTTGTGTGTGTTTCTTCTGTGTTTATTGACTTCTCTTGCTCCTGTCTGTTGGCCTCCCCTAAACACAGAACTCCAAATGTAAAAGATACCAGTGTGTGGTATACCCCTGAGAGGCCTTTGCTTGGGTTTATTGCTCTTGGGTGAGATGTGTTTGGTGGGTAGACTTTTCTGAGAGTGCTGTGCTATGTAGCAGAGGAAATAAGGTAATATGGGTAGGCATAGAAAAGTTGTCAGGAAACTACGTGACATCCTGACTTGAAGTTTTAGGCAAATCTGAATTCCCTGCCAGTGACTTAGGCTTGAAAGCCGAGAGTGGTAGCGACCCCTTGTGGGAAGATGCACAAAATATTGATGGCACTGTGTAGTTTGGTCCCAAGTGAAGCTTAGAACATAGTCAATAATAAGATCTTTAGTTAAGTACTAGTTAGTCAGAGACCTAGTTATATTTCTCTTTGGTATTTAAAAATAGTATTTTATATTATTTTACTAATGTGAAATAATATTTTATATTACTGTTTTACTGTACCCAACCAATAGGCCAACATTGCTTTTTGTTCTATAATACCTTAAAGTGTTCATCTCCCTTATTAAGCAGAAATCTTTCTTTACCTCAGGATTTGACCCCAAACTCTTCCTCATCTTCTTCTTTGGACTTATACTGTTTTTTTGTGGAGACTTGCTTAGCAGGTAGGTTCCGTGACAAATGTGTACCATAACAAGGTTCATTCATAACCAAAGTACTTTATCATTAAAAACTATTGAGTATTGCCATTCCTGCTCCTAGAACTTTATGGCTTAGTTGTTGTCTGCTTGGATATTTAAAAAGATAAATTTATATGTATTATTTTTTATGATTTGAATAATACTGTTAAATTCCCTTATTATTAGGTAGTCATGGGGCTGGGGAGGTGGCTCAGTGGAATAAGTGCTTCCCTGGCAAGTGCAAGGGTCTGAATTGAATTCCCGGTTCTGCTAAAAAAATAAAATAAATAAAATTAGGTAGTCAGCATAAGGTTAATTAGATTTAGCTAATGTACTATGCAGGTAACCATCACCACCCTTTCTACAATAATGTGTTACCCTGGAGATGGATAGAGTTCAGTTAATGCCAGATATGTAAGGAGAGCAACATCATTATTTCCATTTTTTTCCTTTTTGAGCCTATTAGTGAAGATAGGTGAAACTGATATGTAAAAATGTAAAGAAAACATATAAATAAGCAAACATTGAATAAAGGTAGAATTGACATTGCACAAGTAAAAGGAGTAGTTGGGGAGCAGTGAATGGACGACTGACAATTGGTACTTGAAGTTGGGCTGAAGTGGGCTTCGAGGAAGCTTTTGTGTTTTGGAGATTCTGAGAGATTCAGTAGTCCTCCCTCACTCAGTGGAGGACTAATGGGTAGAAGGCCTGGAGTGGGAGCAGAATTGCTGTGATAGTCTCATGAAAGATTTGTTTATTCTTCTGGTTAAGCAGCTCAGTTCCAGTTTCCAATCTGTTTGAGCAGTATTTGTGCTTGCTTCCCAGAAAGGCTGAACAGTTCCTTAGAAGAAATATTCTTACTAAAGCTTGGATTGTAACTGCATGTGCTGATACGTCCTGTAATCCCTTTTCTCTGGGAAGCTGAGGCAAGGGGATTACAAGTTTTTGGCAAGCCAGGCAATTTAGTGACTTAGTGAGAGCCTGTTTCAAAATTGAGAAGCAAAACAAAACAAAAGACTAGAAAACAAAAAGCAGTTGAGTTGAGAGAGAGATTGGAGATGGAAATGGGTTCGTGTGTGATACACAGTGGAGAGAAGTTAATTGATACTAATTTTTTTTTTTTTTTTTTTTTTTTTTTGTGGAACCAGGGATTGAACTCAGGCCCTTGCACTTGCCAGGCAAGCTCTTAATCTGCTGAGCAATGTCCCTGGCCCCTGATACTCATTTTTATTTATTTTTGGCAGAACCGGGGATTGAACTTAGGCCTTTGTGCTTGCCAAGGAAGCGCTTATTCCACTGAGCCATCTCCTTGGCCCCTGATACTCATTTTTATGATCTGACAACACTATTGGATCGGTTTCTACAGTTCTCTTCTTTTAACTCAAGTTTTTGGCTAATATCTGCCCTTATCTGTAAAGAAAATCTTGAGCAAAATACAAGGTAGACACATTAATGTGAAACAGATCTTTTGCAAATAGGAAGGGAATGGAGATGGAGGAAGGGGAAGGGAAAGGGAAGTGCAAATAGATGTCAAGTGCATCACATGTACCAGCTTGCTATGATGAACATAATCATGTACTATAAACATGCACTAATAACAATTAAAAAAACCTTTGGCTAAGTTAGTTATCCTAGTTCCTGCTGTGTATGAAATTTATACCTATAATCATAAAATAAAATTTCTGTCTGCAGGAGTCAGGTTTTCTATTATTCCACTGGGATGAGTGTGGGAATTGTGGCCTCTCTCCTAATCATCATTTTTATACTGTCCAAGTTTATGCCAAAGGTAAGTGGCAGGATCCTCACATGCAGATAGGGTGAACTCGGGTAATCTTAGAACACTGACGGTTTGCACGGAGGGCTGAGGAATGAATGCCCTGCTCTTCTTGATTCTGAAAGGTATGTCCCATGATGAAGTTGGAACCTGATTGCATATAAACTCTTTTTAAAGCCCTGTGCTCAGCAGGCATTAAAGTCAACCTGTTTTCTAATTATATAATCAGCTTTTAAAGTTATTTAGCAACTCATTTTTCGGTGTTCCTTGCAGAGTGTACCTTTTCAGACAAAAAGGATGTTATCTTAAATATGTGCATTTTGAGTGGGTTAAATTTTAAGAAAAATTATAGTTCATTTTGCTTTTTTTCATATGGAAAGTCTTGTAACTTTTTGCTTTCACTTCTACTCTAGAAAAGTCCCATTTATGTCATCCTGGTGGGAGGCTGGTCCTTTTCTCTGTACCTCATTCAGCTAGTTTTTAAGAACTTACAAGAGATCTGGAAGTGTTACTGGCAATATCTTTTAAGTAAGTATTACCAGTTTTGCTTTCTATTTTGCATATTGTAGGCTGTTTTAGTTAATTTGATCATGAATAGATGATACCTGCTTACGAGGATTTAATAGTTTATATTTGATTAACTTTGATTAGATAGAGAATCAGTTTTCTATTTCTTTTTTCCTTTTTTGCGAAACCAGGGGTTGAACTCAGGCCCTTGTGCTTGCCAGGCAAGCGCTTATTCTACTGAGCTATCTCCCTGGCCTCTGTCTCTATTTATTTCTAACATCTGGCCGAACTGGGGATTGAACTGAGGCCCTTGTGCTTGCCAGGGAAGCGCTTATTCCACTGAGCCATGTCCCTGGCCCCACCATTATTTTTTTAAAAATTAAAGTGCTAGGGCTGATGAGATAGCTCAGCGGACCAAGTGCCTGCTTTGGCAAGCACAGGGATCAGGGTTTAATCCCCTGTCCTCTATGCTGCGCAGGCCCTGCCCTTGGGGTGCACTGAGCTGGTGACCCAGTCTGGGCATGATGGCATATATCTGTAGGCGGGGGAGGCTGAAAACAGGAGGATCACTATGCGTCCAGGCTGCATTGTGAGACCCTATAACAACCAAATACGTTAAAAAAAAATTAAAATACTGTTGCTAAGAAGACTTTAATTTGTTGGTATTCATAAAACCATTTCTCGGGACTGGCAAGATAGCTGAGCAGTCTAAAGCACCTGCATAGGCAAGCTTAGGCAAAGTGCTCAGGACCGCAGTTCGATCCCCAGCACCATTTGCCACACCAGCCACACCCCAGAGGTGGGCTGAGCCGGCCACCAAAAATCCCAAAAACATTTCTCTTTGCATAATAAGTATTTTTCTGAAAAGCTATATATCAACTGTTAATATAATCATAGTTTAAATATACTTGAGAACCTTAAAAGTAAAAGACTATAGTGAATCTTACCTGCAGAGTAAGATTGTTTGGTCATAAGAAGAAAAACCCTTTCTATATTATTTGAGAAGTGATTAATCTCATAGTTTGGACTTTAAAAAGACTTTTAAAATTTTCAACAATAGCTTTACTGCTCCATTTGAACCAAATAAGTTTCTGACAACAGAAAGGCTAGAAGCTATGATGGGTATGTTCATGCATATGTGTATTTGTCCATACATTTATACATGTTTCTCTTAGTGATGAAGAAAGTATGAATAATGGAGTAAACAACTTGCCCAATTTCTTGGTTCAACAGATGCTATATAGAGAATTTACTGCTATTCCCTGCACAAATTGTGTTATTTTATATATATCCATACTAGACCTAGAGAAAAAAGACTGTCCTGTGCTAACTCTTCTTGTAGGCTACGTCCTCACAGTCGGATTCATCAGTTTTGCAGTGTGTTACAAATATGGGCCCTTGGAGAATGAACGCAGTATCAACTTGCTGACTTGGACCTTGCAGCTGATGGGCTTGGGTTTCATGTATTCTGGCATCCAGATACCGCACATTGCCCTTGGCGTTGTCATCATTGCACTGTGTACCAAGAACCTGGAGTACCCTATTCAGTGGCTGTACATTACCTACAGGTGACTGAAAGGCGGTGTTATTCTACTGATACGTTCCATATGAGATGCAATTTACAGCAAAAGGCTGCAGAGATGTGGCCCTGGGGACCTCTTTGTTCATGGGAAATTACTGTGTTAAGCTTCTGCCTTTTTTCCTTCCTATTTTTTAGATACTGTAGGCTTTTTATAATTTTTATTCTAGTCATTTTATATAAAAGCATTCAGTAAAGTGTCATGTGTTCCTGCTCCCACTAGGTGGCGCACATTACTTTCATACCGCAGGCTTCAGGTTTACTGATTCAAGATGGTTTAGCCCTAGTTCTGATTGCTTTGGAAGTTTGCCTTATTTTAAGATGTAATTGATAGCATGTTATCACTTTGCATATTGAATATGGAATGGTCATTAATTTGAGATTGTTAATAGTTGTTCTGCTGCAGATACAGTGATACCTTCAGTTTGAGGAACCAAGTCAATGGACCACAGTATTATGATTTTTTTTGTCGTTTTTCCACTTATTGGAAAATAAATATTTCATTTATCATTTATTGGAAAATAAGTGAATTTATTCACATTAGTATACAATATTGACTACTGTAACTTGACTAAAAGAAGTCCATTTATAACTAAAGATGTCTGTGGAATAAAGATGGGAGTGCTAACTAACGATCAGACTGGCTGCTGTGTGCTTGGTCCACTGAATGGAGCTAGAGATGAGGATGGATATAGATTACTGATTAATGATTCATGATGTTATTTTGGTGAGCACAGAAAGATGTGTAAGGCAAGAGAAAAGCCTGCTCCCCCTCGTCTTCTGACAGAAGAAGAGTATCGGATACAAGGAGAGGTAGAGACCCAAAAGGCTTTAGAAGAGCTCCGAACATTTTGTAACAGTCCAGACTGCTCTCCTTGGAAGACCATTTCTCGCATACAGTTTCCAAAAAGGTAAACTTTTGGCCAGATAAGCGAGGTATCTATTAGGCTCACTGTGACCTTGAGTTCTAACGAAGAGCAACTGCCTAGATAACCTTGTATTTATGGCCCTTGTTTACTGTTAACCTAGGCGTGGCCAAGAGAAAGCCATCTATAGCATCTATTAAGCAGTTGCCAGTTTCCTGTGTCCCCAAGGAACTAACTACCTGAGGCTCTAGCTATTATTGAAGCCCCAAGATGAGAAGATTGCAGCACCATATTAAGTTTCCCTGCTCTGCAAGTTTTACATTGCTCTCTGAGTGGGATTTTCTTTTTTGCTTTTTAGTTGGTAAAATGAGTATGTGAAGATTCAATTTAGAATCCTGACAGCATAAAGTTTATAGGGCCATAAACACAAGTAACTGTGAATACCCTTGATCTTCTCTTATCAGGAATATGATGACTCAAGGAACCTTAGCATTTCTATAATAAAAAGGACAGGCTTCCGCTTATTAAGCTAGATAGAGTGGCAGGGGATGCTCGCCTATGATCCCAGCCCTTCTTTTTCCCCTATTTCTTGCTTTAGCCTGCGTATCTGCCAAAGTGGGGACAGGAAGGTTGGCTGTCTCAAAATTAGAACTGTGAACATATTAATTAAGCATTTCAGTTTTTTCTTATTTTGAAAGACAATTGGAAGGATAGAAGAGAGCTTGCTAATGAATATTATCTTCTTTTTTCTAGATTTGCTGACTTTATGGAAGGCTCTTTCCATCTCACACCAAACGAAGTTTCTGCCCATGAGCAGGAGTATGGATTAGGGAGCATTGTTGCCCTGGATGAGGACACGTCCTTTGAGGAGGAAGACTCAGATTCTCTGTACCCTACTGTCACACAGAACAACTTCCTCCATTAGGGGGTAGTCTTATTTTTATGTAGGATGGGTTGGTGCCTTGGTGGTCCGTGTTCTGACAGCAAGGCTGAGGGATAATGTGGAGATTCTCCCACTGAAATGAGAGGCTTGGCTGGCCCCCCCCTGGGAGCGGCCTTGTGGTCCCTGTGGGAGCATGGAGGAAGGAGAATGGGGGAAGCAGTGAATGCTGTGGTAGCTTGCTTTCCATTGGTTAAGCTATCAGTCCAGTTTTCTGTTAGCAAGAAATTGGTTGTCTACAACCAGCATGGCATTTTAGCACCTGAAAGTTGGTTCAGTCATGACTTCTGTCACCATGGCTGGCACTTCAAAGTGAGAAGTGTAATTTCAGGAGTGCTTTCGGGCATAGGCTGTATCTGCTGGAGAGAAACCAACAAATCTTTCACTTTGAGGAAAACTGATCTTTGTCTTTTTTTTTTTTTTTTTTTTGAGACAGTGTCTTACCACATACAGATTGGCCTTGAACGCACTTACATAGCCTAGGCTGGTCTCAAACTCGTGATGGTTCCTCCGCCGCTCCAGTGCTGGGATTACAGGCACAAGCTACCAGCCCTGACTGGTCAGCTTTTTTGTTTTGTTTGTCTTCTTGAGACAGGGTCTTGCTATCAGTTCACGCTGGCCTTTGAGCTCACTTTATAGCCCAAGCTGGTCTTGAACTTGCAATAGTCCTGCCTCAGCCTTCCAGGTGCTGGGATTTCAGGTATGTGCCACCATACCCGGCTTTTTTTTTTTTTTAATGTATTTTAAAAAACATAACAAACTCATGTTCCAGGTAGGTACTCAGAGTGACAAGGCATTTTGGTCCTTAGATATTTATTAGTATAGATTAGCCATTAAAACCCCAGAAGCTGTTGTGTTGAACTTTGAATTAGTTCTCACATATGTGGTATTCTGAGTCCTGTTTGCTTTGAGGAATGTACCTGTAGGCTCTTCTGTATGTGAGGCCTTTTGGGCTTTTTATTATATTTCACATTTAATTTTATCTTAATACATTTGCACTTAGTCCTCCTTTTTCCTTTTAGAAAAGGTCTGTTTTCTCACCTGTGGGACATGAGACTCTGAGTTTGTCTCATTTCTTATCCCTTATTCCTTCTGCTAGCCAGAAGAAGTGTGCTGTCGTTTATCCCATTTTTTCTGTCACTGGGTCACATATCTGAGTTACTTTGGAAGAAAGTATCCTTTTGTCTGCCTTGCTTTGTATAGCCATCTACTCATTCTTTCAGCCTTCCTTACTACCTGCACCTTCCCAAACCTGGCTGATTTGTAAGCCCTGAAGCCATCTCTGAAGTTTCTTTTTCTTTTTTTATTTTTTGGTGGAGCTGGACATGTAACTCAGGCCCTTGCACTTGCCAGGGAAGTGCTTATTCCACTGAGCCATCTTTCCAGCCCCTGAAGTTTCTTGATAGACACTTTGTATCTCCTAGCTACCGTCTTCTGCATTGCTGGCAAGTAGATCTCCAGGTTATCTTCATGCCTCTGGATACTCGGCCACCGGGATCAGACACATTTTTCTATGAATTTTATTTTTTTGGTGGAACCTGGGATTGAACTTAGGCCCTTGTGCTTGCCAGGGAAGCGCGTATTCCACAGAGCTATCTCCCCAGCCCTTTTATTTTAATGGGAAGGGTTTACAAGTGTTCAGGGTCGGGTCTCACTACTAGATAAGACTCATCGTGATCCGCATGTTTATAGCCTCCCAAGAACTGGGATTACAGGCACGTGCCACCATGCCCAGTCTTATGAATTTTGTTATACTTATTTGCAATTCCATTTCTGGCCAGAGCTTCATGCTGTCTTGTATTATAGTGGCCTTAGTTTCATATTCTTTTGCCTCTGTAATGTACTCTTACAAGCCAGCAATAACATTTATGAGGGAGCAAATTCCCTGGTATTTGACATTTGCTTGGTTCTTTCTCTGGTTTTTTACTCCTGTGCTTTGGGAAAAGCTTTAATTTCTTTAGGAAGGTAGACATTCATGGCAGGTATACAGCATTTGACTTGTACACTAACCATGATTGTGGTGAAATAAGATGAATTTTTACAAAGGTGTTAAAACTCATTCAGACTGGCCATTAGGATGTAATTTTGAAAGACTCTGGGCTCCATTGCTGACTTCCGGAATGTCAGCTGTGAGGCTCCCATCCAGGTGGCTGGCTGATTACTTGCACCGTATTCCTTCAGCTGTTCTAACGTGACAACTACCTCAGTTGGCAGAGATTGATGGTAAAAAGAGGAAAATAAACAGTATTTGGTAGGTGCTGTGGTCTAAAATTACAGAATACAAGGAATTTTATCTTGGGAAGCCCTTATCCCTCTCTGAATTATGTGCATGGTAAAATTTTATCCTCTTACAAAGAACTATTAAAACTTGGACTGGAGATGTGGTATTGCACTTGCCTAGCATGCACAAGGCCCTGGGGTGGAACCGCTGCACACAGCCTTCCCCTTAAGCACCCTGTGAAATGCAGTGTTTTTGACACATACAGCAATTTTAGACCTAGAATATTTGAGGATAAATAACTTTGCAAAAGGTCTCAGGATCTAGAGACGTTGGTGCCTTCCCCCAGATGACTTAGGGAGGTGGTTTCTTGCCTCCAGCGTGGCATTTGCATGTTATGACTTTATTTCAATGGGAAGCCATTGGGAAGTTGGAAAAGATTCTCCTTTTCTGTGTAGTAAACTCTTTGTGAATATAGTTTTTTTTTTTTTTTTTTTTTTTTTTTTTTTTGAGAACTGGGGTTTGAACTCAGGCCCTTGTGCTTGCCAGGGAAGTGCTTATTCCACTGAGCCATCTCCCTGGCCCCCCTGTGAATATTGTTTTAAGACCAGTTTTTTTTTTTTTTTTTTTTTTCTCTTCACTGTATTTGAATTTGGAGTGAGGAAAATGAAACTCATTTTATTATTCCCTGGCTGGTAATTGGACACCTGTGCTTAAGACAGTGGAGATGGCAGTTGCTTCTGCAGCGTGCTTGCTCTCACAGTGAAGGACGGTGCCTATTTGGTGTGCTGTGTCCTTGTCCTGCCTGCCTTGTGGTGTTTCAGAGCATCTGTGTGCTGGGTGATTGCTTGACTCTAAACCTTTAGGAGCTGTTCTTGTCTCCCTCTTGGCCACTTAGTCTGCTGGCTCAGTTAGTACTTGAAGCCCCTATTTAATTTTTCCTGGCAGTTACAGCTATTGCAATTTCAGCATAGTCTCATTTCAGGCTGATCTCATCAAGAAGGATTGAAGGGATAACTGGGTAAGCTGGACAGTGGAGCCATGTCTGCTGCCGCATCAGCGTCTTGCTCAACAAATACCAAGCCATAAATTGGCCTGAGGGCTCAGGGTCTCATCAGCATTGGAAATCTATTGTCCAATCGGTCTGACCAAGTTATATAAGAGCATGATTCCCATTAATGGAAATATAAGAGGCGACTTGCCTAAAATACTTTCTTTTCACTGTCCTGCTCAGGTGGTTTTCATGACAACAACAGAACATGATTGAAACCAAGAAAAATTTAACCACTTCGGATACCTTCTAATAAGAAATTCCAGTCTGGGCGTGGTGGTACGCGCCTGTAATCCCAGCACTTGGGAGGCTGAAAACAGAAGCACTACAAGTCCAATCTGTGTAGTGAGGCCCTGTAGACCCTGTACTAAATACAAAAAAAAAGAAAAGAAAAAAAAAAAAAGGAATTCCTGTCAGCCACTGCATCACACCAAAACCAGTTTGTTTTCCCAGATTTGTGATGTTAATGTCTGTTACAAAGGGAATTTTGCTAATGATAGCACTTTGGGTCCCACTGTTCCCCTTATAATAATACATCCAATTCTAGTGCCCAGCCTTCTTCATTAATTGTCTCCCTTTAACTTGGTCCCTAGTAGGCAGTAAGACCAGTTTGATGAATGAAAGGACCAGAAAGTTCCCTAGGCCCTGATGTCCATAAAAGGATTGGGAATGGATGATATAATTGCCTTCAATCTTTTTGTTCCAGAGAAATAGAAATGATGGGCTCAGATGCCTAAAAATGGTTCCTAGCCATGTACTCATAACTCCTCTGAATTGAGTGGTGAAAGTTGAAGTAGGAGGAAAGGCAATTAAATATCCCTCTAGTATTTGCACCAAGATCTGACGTGAAATAACTATATTGAAATGCCAAGACTTCTGTCTGAACTAAGGAGAGGAGAATTGGATAGATTCGCTTTCTTACATTATATGGGCACTAAAATCAAGTAGTAAAAATAGCCATTGCACAAGGCAGATGCACCTGAACTTTCTGCTTATTTCTATGTGGCAGAATTGATATTTTATTTATTTATTTTTTTAAAGGGAAACCAATGCAGCTGTGGGACCCAGTGATGTCTTAATCAACTTAGGGACTCAGGCTGCTATGAAGTTTGGTTCTAGATAGTTAACTGCCTTGAAAAGGCTATCTGGTGCCTTACATGGCAGGAGGCAAAGCGTCCTGGGGATGAACAAAGCAGATAACGTGCCCATGCCACCTTGTAGCTTTAGTGGGGTCACACAGACTCCTCACCTCCCACCTATGTGTAGCGTTGCCTTTCACACTCAATGACTACTTGAAAGCAGTGAACTCACTTTCTTTGAACTTGCCTATAACATAAGCAGTATTCTTTTAATAGATGACTTATAATGTGAATTTTAAGAAACTGTTCCTGCAATTGCCACAGTTTTCCATATGTATGGAATTGATGTAATAAGAGGGCTAAGAAATTACTGGGTATGTTTTAGTCTCTGGCTAATGCCTTAGTGTTTAGATAAAAGATTTGTATTTAAAATAAATGTTCATAAATGTTTGTAAATAAAATCAGGGACCACCACTCTGCTGTGGGTCTCATTTTCATCCTTCTGTAAGAAAAACTTATATTGTATGTTTTTTCCCTCATTTTTATTATAGTTTGTAAGCCCAATTTTAATAAAGTTTTGCAGATCTATTTCTTGATCTCTTAATATGTGCTCTACTTGTTTGGATCTCATGTTCTCAGGTAATCAGTGCTTGACTCCTCAGTTCCATGCCATTGGTTTTCCCTCTGCTAACTACCCCTCCTCACTTTAAGTCTCTATTGTCTTCTGCCATCCTCGTCCTGAATGATTTCCTGGAGTGCTAGGGGCAATCCTGCAGGTAAAGCAGGATGTACTGCTTTGCTGTGTCAAAGGAAAAGTAAAGGTTATTCCTGCTTCAGGAAGCTACTCTGTACTTTAGTTCTTTTATTATTTTATGACATAAAGTATCTCAGGTTTTTCCATTAGGATGGGAGGAACCGGTGGGCCTTGGTAGGGGACCCCTACCAAGAGATTTATGTAAGATATGAGAGGGATAAGAGCTGTAATGAGTGTCGGGGCTGGGAATATAAGGGCTGTTCTGGCAGGAACTGTTGCCCTCCCTCAATGAAATGAGACCCACAGCGGAGCCGTCACTGTTTCTCTTTGCCCACCAAA